AGAGAGCGAAAGAAGGCGGGCGGAAGAGACGAAAAGGGCGAGAGGAGCGAAAAGACCAAGAAGGCGAAGGCGAAGGCGAAGACAGACGGTGAGGGCAAGAAGGCGGAAGCAACGACGAAGCAGCACAAAAGGCGGAAGAGCCGCGAGAAACTCGAGGCTGCGATTGTCGCCAGGAGCGGCGATGACGAGGAAGACTCCGGCTACGTTTCACCACCTCACTCTCCGCACAAGTACGGCGCCATCCGCCCCGCGTGTCGTGTGTGTCGTGTGTGTTGTGTGTGTCGTGTGTGTTGTATAGCATGCTGGGCGCAATTCGCTGGTGTGTAATGGACATCGGAATGCACGCTACAGACGCAATGCCGGGTCTACGCCGGGGCCAGTACGACTCGTCTACGAAGAGGGCCGAGGAGGCAACACCAACTTCACCAAGATCAACCGAAAGCGCAGGTGAACTTCCCGCCCCACCACCCATCATGACATTCCATCACATTCCTCGGTGGAAGGAGCACCCCAGCAAACGACGTGACGTGCGTGTACAGCCTCACGTGCAACCTGGCGGCCGACGACACGAGGGAGATCCACTTCTCGGGGAAGCGCAAGTCAGCTGAAATCGCCCGCTCCGAGCTCGCGCCCCTCAATATCCTCAGCATCGGCCAATCCTTGGAGCCACAGGAGGGGACCGACGACAACCCGGCCCTGGCCACCGATGCCAGCAGCGGCGGTGCCACGCTCTCTGCGTCGGCCGCCGGAACTGCGGCGGCACTCGCACCGATCTCGCCTGCCGTGCCCAGTCGCGGCCGCAATGCGTGGGCCAGCCTGCTGTCCAAGGTGAGCGGCTGGAGCGGCGACAAGGAGCTCCGGGCCAGCAGACGCGAGGAGCGGCGGCGCTCGAAGAACGTCACCAAAGAGGGGTCCCGGCAGGAGTTCAACCGGCAGGGCAGCACCGGCAGTGGCCTCGCAGTGAGCAGGAACCGCCGCGAGATCGGTGGTGATAGTGCGACGCTGGACATAAGCAGCAGCGGCGAACGGCAACGCGGGCGGAGCTGGGGCAAGTACGAGGGCAAGTTGGTGAAGCGGGAGAAGCGGGACGAAGACGAAACACAACACACGCAGACGCAGGGCAAGATCGACCCGACGGATAAGCGCAAGGCCCGCGACAAGCGAGCGGTCCAGCGCGTGCTCCCGNGCAGCCTCTCCTTCGACAGCTCGATCGGGTGTCTAC